TGCGGGCTTCTCCGGCCCGGGAGGCCCGGGAGGCCCGGGGCTGTGAATTATTGAAGGCAGCGGGGAACCCGAGCCGCTGTGTTGGGGGTTGGGGGTGGGGGTGGGGATCGCCGGGCCCCGCGGGGAGGCCGGGGGGGCCGAGGGGCACGGGGTGGGGGCGTCCGGGAGCCGAGCGACTCGGGCCCTTGGTCAGTCCCCGCGGAGCCCATTCATTCCTCCACGAACTTGGAGCCCCTGCCAGGTGCTGGGGCATTCCAGTGGGAGAGGCAGCCCACAGATCGGGAAACCGAGGCACACACGACCTGGAGTTGTGCACTTCCTGGGCACGATGGGGTCATTCGCTCTGTTGATGTACAAACCCGAGGAGTGAGTTTCTTTAATCTGAGCTGGTACCTTGAGAAAACCCGGTGCCCCTCTTTGGAATGACTGATGGGATTTTGGTCTGTGCACCTACCTCCTACCCAATACAGTGTCAGACGTTAAGTAATCACATTTTCTTTATTACACAGGGATATGGACGTCTTAAACCTGGTGTCAGCTTATATTCCAGGTTTTCTGTGACAAATGACCTACAGTTGATCCTAAGTACCAGTAATAGACTGAAAATGCTCTGCATGACAGAGACCTAAATTAAAGACTTTTTTGTCCTGTTTACAGAAATGTCTGTTTTTTATCCCCAAAGAGGCCCCTGACCCACCTCAATAGGGACTTGAAGGATGAGACATCGCAGGGAAAGCTTATTGGTTTTCATTCTTGCCATTTCCCCCCTTCCTCCCTCAGTTCCCCCTCCTTTCCTATCTTTTTTCCTTCCTTCTTTCCTCCCTCCCTTCCTTTTTGTGGCGACAAGATCTCACTATGTTGCCCAGGCTGGTCTCTAACTCCTGGACTCAAGCAATCCTCCCACCTTGGCTGCCTTGCCATTTTCTTATAAAACTTCGGTTGTCTCAGGTCTTGGGAGGTGAGACCGTTGTCATAGCTGATGGCAATGACACCTGTGAAGGCACCAATTACCCATCTAGCATTTAGACTTGTGGAAATGATGCTGGCATCAAAATACCTGCCCGCATGGTTATTCCAAGCTGGAGAAACCTACTTCAAGAGGGCTGACTGATAGCAGCAGTGATAGAATGTTTATATTTAGCCACATGTGCTGAATGTGGTTGTCACAAGTTTGAAATGCTTTCCTGCAAGACCGTTTGTCTGTTGCTCACTTGAGTTCTTTCTCATCTATATTTAGGTGGCTTACTGTAGCTTTTAAAGTCACTGGCTTTTAACATGGTGTTAGTGATTCATAGGCCCGCTCCTTAAATTCATTGTAGTCTGCTTCTGACAGTCTCCTTTAAGGGGAGCTTCTAGGCTCTGATTTCGTGTTCAGCAGGCTGGCTAAAGACAGGGTGTGGGAAAGCCTGCTCACCCAGTTTCAGGTCAGACTTCACAGCATTCACTAAGAGTTAGTTCATGGCTGTGTGCATACAATTTGAGATGAATGTGCTTTTGGTGTTCAGAAGCTTTTACATTTAAAAAATTGGACTTGACCTGTATTGTATGTTTGTAGGTTTCGCTCTGTTTGTACCTGTCTGGGCAGGTTGTGTGGTTTGTTTTAAACTAATATTTAAATAGTTTGTTTTAGTGGGACGCAGTGGCTCATGTCTGTAATCCCAGCACTTTGGGAGTGGAGGCGAGAGAATTGCCTGTCCTCAGAGGTTTGAGACCAGCCTGAGGAACATGGCGAGACCTCATCTTACAATAAATCACAAAAACTTAACCGGGCCTGGTGGTGCATAGATGTGGTTCCGGCTACTTTGGAAGGCTGAGGCGGAAGGATTGCCTGAGTCCTGGAGGTAGAGGCTGCACTTGAGCTGTGATTGTGCCACTGCGTTCCAGTCTGGATGACAGAGTGAGACCCCAATCCAAAATAATAATAATAAAGCCAGGCATTGAATTAGGTGTCCCCTAAATGAGGCTCTTGCATTGAGGTCTGGCAGGCACCTTTCAGCTTATGATGTACCCACTGCCAAGTATACTTTCCTTAATGAATACCTTTGGTGATGGGAATAAAACCTTAGTTTAGTTTTTGGCTTAAACGTCTTCCAGGAGGCTGCCTCTGACCCATGGACTGAACCCCCGGCTTAGTACTCATCCTACTTTAATGATGATTACTATGTGTTTGATACCCAGATTCCCTGCCGTAATGTAAGCAGGGCAGGGACTGGGCCTCCCTGGCCACTCATGGGTTGTGTGTCTAGCTGTGCAGGGCAGGTGCTGAAGTGTTAGTTGGTTGACTGAGTGAGTGAACCGCAATGTCACAAGAAGAAATGCACTTTTAAAAAGCTTATATAGAGCAGGGTGCGGTGGCTCACACCTGTAATCCCAGCACTTTGGGAAGCTGAGGCAGGAGGATTGCTTGAGCCCAGGAGTTTGAGACCAGCCTAGGCAACTTGGCAAGACCTTGACTCTACAATAAATCAAAACAAATTAGCTGGGTGTGGTGGCACACCCCTGTAGTCCCAGCTACTTGGAAGGCCAAGATGGAAGGATTGCCTGAGCCCAGAAGGTCGAACATGCCACTGCACTCCAGCCTGGGAGACAGAATGAGACTCTGATTCAAAAAACAAAACAAAACAAAAATTTTAAAAGCCTATATAGGAGGAGGAGAGAGCCCTGGAAAGGGACGGATGAGAAGGGGCATTGCAGTGAGGGGGAGATTGGGAGACCAGTAGAGATTTAGATTGGACATCAAAGGGGATGAGGAGACTGGGAACACAGCTTATAGAAACTCTGCTTTCAAGTTTACAGAGAAGGCTCATTCGTTCATTCATTCACCACACTCCTGGGCTTACTGTGTGCTGGGTGCACTGCACAGGCCTTGTGTATATGTGTGTGTGTGTGTGTGTGTGTGTGTGTGTGTGTGTGTGTGTGTAAGAGAGTCTGTGTGGAGTTCTTGTCTACTTTATCTGTCACAGGTAGAACTTTTTATTTATTTTTTTTCCTAAGTTTGTCACTGTATTATTAATGTCTCTTCAAAAATAGATTGTGCCAGTCCTTCCACCCTTGCTCCAGGACAACTGAGAAGGCCGTTGGGGTGTTGGTTGGTCTTTGTTTTTGGCCCTGTTGTCTTGTGTTGCTAAGCGTCACGGCAGCCCGTGTCTGTTGTCAGATGCTGTGCATGGAGTCTTTGCTTACCTCCTCTGTGACTGGTTTTGTGTAGGACACAGGAGAAGTGGGTGGCAGGCTGGCAAGACAGATCTTTTCAGGGGCAGCGGTGTGAGGCATCTTCTTGGCTGTTATCCTGCTGAGATGAGTTTAGCCTTTTGGTTAATTTCATGGTATCTTTTAGTTTGAATAGTAGGTTTTTCAGTTAAAAATTCATGAGGGATCATGTAACAGTGCAGAAAACTTCATAATACAGAGGAAAACCCCCAAGTACACGTTGTCCTACCCACTTCTTTCCAGACTTTTCCCAGGATGGTCATGCATGGTCACCCTGGTACACAGACTTTTTTTTTCCTCTCTGCACTTAATATTTGATCATAAGTACTTTTCCAATTTGCTGTATAGTCTTCAGAGCCATTTTTTCCAGCTGTGCAGTAATCCTATTAAGGTTCTGCGGCAAATGGCCACAGTCAGAAAGGCAAGCTGGTTAGAGCATTAGTCTCCAACAAGGAAAGGGGCAGGCAGGGAGCTGAATTAGACTCGGGGGTTCTGAGACCCCAGAGGTGAGTGGACCCGCTAGTGGTAGTTGGGGCCCCCATCTCATGTGAGATCTGGCTTCTGATTGTCCCAAGCAACAGGGTTTTCCTTGTCCATTCATAGATTAATTCTATTAAGTCCAAGTGTCTGGTGAGTATCCGGGGTATTTGGGCATGTTTCTAGCGGATATTCCCATAAAGTGTATTTACCTAGTCCCTGACCTGCAGATAGGCACAAAACTCTCTAGTGGACGTCCACCTGGTCTCATTCTTTCTGAGCTGTAGCAGGCATCCAGTATCTCTGTTGCACCTAAGTTTTTCTGCTGAGAAAAGGGGTAGTGGTGAGTTTTATCTATTTCTGTGCAGAAATGATATGAGAATGAATACATCAAAAGATCTAGCTGCCTTGTGTATACTGATTTTTAATTTTTTTGAGTTGGAGTCTCACTCTGTCGCCCAGACTGGAGTGCAGTGGCACGCTGCCGGCCACTGCAACCTCGACCTGCTAGGCTCCGGTGATCCTTCCACCTCAGTCTTCCAAGTAGCCAGAACCACAGGTGCACACTACCACGCCCAGCTAATTTTTGATTTATTGTTGAGATGAAGTCTCGCCAAGTTGCCATGGTGGGTCTCGAACCCGCAGTCTCAGGCAATTCATTCACCTCGGCCTCCCAGAGTGCTGAGATTACAGGCTGAGCCACCAAGCCCGGCCTGTACTGATGTTTTTAAGACTTATTTTTTTAGGTTGTCCGGTTTTTTATTAGCTATTATTTACTAGTTACTGATTAGCTCTCAAACAGGGATCTGTAGAACAAGGGAATACCTAGTGTCTCTGTCAATTTCTGTACCTGTATCTTCCTGGTGTTTTTGTTTCCTGTACATTTTATGAAGCCAGCTGCATTATAGGGTACTTAAATATACAGAGGGTGCCAAAATAATGTGCACACATTTTAAGGAAGGAAAAAACTGTATTAACATTGTAATACTTAATAAAATGAATACAATTCATGTTTGACTTCTGCAATTACAAGAGGTGCTCAAAGTGGTTGCCATCAGTGTCCAGACACTGCTGGTTATGGTGAACATCTCTTAACATTGCTTATAATGGGTATACCTTTTTTTGGCACCCACATAACGTCTGTCTCTCGGATTAAACCGTAGCCTCCAGATGGCCAAGACCGTGCCTCATTTATTCAATTCTGAAATCCCAGAATCAAACTATTCATCTAGCACACATTTATCAATTGCCTTCTCCATGGCAGACACCGTTCTCGGCTCAGGAGACAGCCATGTATGAAGCTGCCCGTCCTCACAGAGCTTGTATTGCAGTAGGGGATACAGCAGATGCATTGGGTGTTGTGGCATGTTAGAAGGTGGTTAATGCCGTGGAAAAAAATAAAACAGGGAAGGGGAATGGAAGGGCCAGGGAGGTGAGACTTTGCAGTTTTGAAGCTGGATCACTAGGGAGGTGTCCCTGAGAAGGTAGCCTGAAAGGCTTGAAAGAGGTGAGTGGGGAGGCCACAATGGCTGAGGTATCCCCAAGGCACATGCTGCAAGGTTGAGGAACAGCAAAGAGGCTGGTGAGGCTGGTGTGGAATTGGGGAGCGGGAAGGACGCAGGTGGAGATGAAGGCAGAGAGGAGTGTCAGACTGCGTTCCCAGATGAAAGGACTGACTTTTACTTCCAGTGACTTGGGCCCCTGTGGGGGGGGGGGTTGCACCAGGGATCGACGGTTAGCAGGCTTGGATGGGGAAAAGACTGGAAACTGGGGTGAGGAGGGGACCAGTGAGGAGGCATAGTCCAGACCAGAGAGGGTGGGGGGAACTTTGACTGCTGTAGATGCAGTGGTGGTGAGAAGAGCTTTTGCATATTTTAGTGTTCTGATTTTATTTTTAAAAATTCCATCGCCTGATCCCAGGAGTTTGAGGCTGCAGTGAGCTATGCTTGTGCCACTGCACTTCAGCCTGGGTGACAGAGTGAGACCCTGACTCTAAAAAAGACTTCCATATATCTGCAGAGAAGATGAGAGTGGTATAGGAAACACCGCATACCTTCACCGAGCCTCACTAGTTGTAAATATGTTGTCACATTTGTCACATCCATTATTATATTTATTGTTACCATTTGCTAGAGTTTTTGAGAGGAAGTTGCATATATTATAACCATTCAGACCTAAAGAATGCACGTGTTTCTCCTAGGAACAAGGATATTTTGTATATAACCATAGTACAGTTACCAAATTTAAGAAGTTTAACAGCGAGAAGAAGGATACATTTATCCAGTTGCTCCAATAATGTCCTTGGTAGCCATTTTTTCCCCAGTGCAGGGTCCCATTCAGGATCCCACATTGTATTCTGTTGTCCTGTCTTTTAGTTTTGCAGAAGGCCCCTCCATTTGGGTTTTCTGATTCTTTTCTTACAATTGGCCTCCAGTGTTATGTTTTTGGTGGGAATGCTACACGTGGGACATTGTGTCCGTCTTAGGGTACTGGAGCTGCAGATGTGACCAGTGAGATTAGTGTTGCCAATAAGTGAGGTAGGGAAGGCTTTGAGAGGGGTAGGACTCTGGGGGAGAGACCAGGAGGACAGATTTGTACATACTGTCTGGCTCGCGGTTAGGGGCTCACAGATACCTGTAGTTGAATTTCTTTTCCTTTTTTTTTCTTTTTGAGTCATGGTCTCAGTCTTGCCCAGGCTGGAGTGCAGTGACATGATCATGGTTCACTGCAGCTTCAACCTCTGGGCTCAGATGATCCTTCTACCTCAGCCTCCTGAGTAACTGGGTCTACAGGCATGTGCCACCATGCCCAGCTAATTTTTTTTTATTTTTGTAGAGATGAGGTCTCATCATGTTGCCTAGGCTGGTCTTGAACTTCTGGTTTTGAGCCATCTTCTTGCCTTGGCCTTCCAAAGTATTGGGAGTACAGGCATGAGCCACTACACCCAGCATGTAGTTGAGTTTCATGCTAGTAAAGTAGTGAAGTGATTCTCGTGGGCTGGAAAGCAGTAATTGCACCTGGAGTACTGGGTTATCTGCTTATATATTAAACTCTGGCACGGTCTCATGGCGTCTTAGCTGGTCTCAACTTTCTGTCTGGTATAGCCAGGGTAGGGAGAAACTTCCCCTCCCTGTGGCCTTCTCTCTCTCTCATTCTTGTGGTGTCCCTGCCACCAGTTCCTTTATAGTCTGCCCTATGCTTCCTGCTCAAGGGGGAACTGGGGGTGCGTAACAGTCTAGTTTGAGGGGTGATGCTGGTCAAATGAAAGCTCTGATAATATTTTATATTCATATGGTGGGTCTATTTAATAAAACAACTCAAACCTCCACTCTCTTTTTAAAAATCTCTCTTTCTCTTTCTCTTTTAAAGTTTAAACTCATATCCCAGGCATATGAAGTGCTTTCAGATGCAAAGAAAAGGGACATCTATGACCAGGGTGGAGAACAGGCCATTAAAGAGGGGGGCACGGGCCCCAGCTTCTCCTCGCCCATGGACATCTTCGACATGTTCTTTGGTGGTGGAGGACGGATGGCCAGAGAGAGAAGAGGTAAGTGTGTTGAAGGAAACTGTACATATCCTGGGAATCAGGATGGATCATGCAAAAGGGAGTGAGTGTCATGCTTGGGACCGTCCACTTCAACGAGTTCATCCCTTGGCTAGTTTCGAGATCATCTGGAATCTCTTGGTGTATTTAGTAATTCTCTGACACCCTCCAGCATCACCTATGAAGGAGTAAATGGAGTGGTTCAAGTTCATCTTGCCCTCTTTTCTTTTGTTGATGGGTCAGACCCGAGTGTCCTGAGGTACGCAATGGCACTTTCTGTGGTTGTCAGTGATCCCTTTACCAAGATTGCCCCTGTCCCTGCCCTGGGCCTGAGGGCTCTCTTGTTCTGGCTGGTTCTCTGTCATGTTTAGTATGGCCTCATTTTCCCAGTTTGCTCAGGGAATTTTCTAGGTAACATGATTTATGTTTTAAAATCTTTGTAAGCGACCTGGCTTTCTTTTCAGAATGCATTGTGCTGAGCAGCTTCATCCCCAGGGGGTGAACGAGAAGCTTAACCCTCAACTGAATGGCCCAGGTCCCTGTTTTTGAGCTCTGGGGTTTGCGCTAATTTTTCTACGTGTCACCTCCTGCCAGACTATGGGTCGTCACCTCTGTTATGAGTGGTCTCTAGCAAGGTAGCTCCCTGGTTTACTGTTTACTGCTCAGCTGATTTACTGTTGACAAGTTGCTTTGGATCTTGAACCCAGATAGATAACCAAGCGTATTACAATTCTGGATAAAGTCAGATTACAATTCTGGATAAAATCAGGTCTGAGCTGGGGTTTAAGAAATGTGGTTTTGGTCAGTGAGATCCCCTGGATAAATGAAGCTGTGTTTATTCTCACATTATAATTGACTGAGCTTTATAAAGCTGGGATGTCAATTCTGTGAACACAGTGTGCTAAAGATCACCAAGTGTTTATTAGGGAAAAATCCTTCCTGTGTCCTCTGGGAAGAGGCCTACTCATATAATTGATGGTGTGAACGTGATTAAAACCTCGGATGTTCTCTGGCCCAGCTTTCCCCATCTTGAGGTGAGAAACTTCATGTCCTTAATTAAGTCATCTCTCAAAGTTGACAGCCAATAAGCCAGGACACATTGTCTCAGTGACTGCGAGAGTGCCACAGGCAGCAGGGAGGGTCTTGAGGCTGCCTGTCCTACAGGTGGGCAGGCACTGGAGCAAACGCATTGCCACCCTGAGGTCTAAATGCCCGCCGTCCTAAAGGCAGAAGTGAGATTTCTGCAGAGGAGGGGATTCCCACTTGGTCCCTGGTTACAGAAGGGCTTGGAAAGGAAAGCACTGTGTGTCCAAGGAGGAGTTTCAGTGAGAGGTCCAGAGACTCCGGGTGTCATACGTTCATCTTTGAGAACAGGCTCCTGTCATGGGAGAACTTACCTAACCTGTTTCATTGGTTAACACTCCTTAGGTTTCTCAGGTAGCGAGCTCCCTGTCATCAGATTTGTTCTCAGAAAATAAAGGTGGAGAGTCCTTTTGTTGACCTCTATAAATGATTGAATAATTAGCTCATCGCTAGTAAGGATATTTGTTCTTGTTACTGGCCAGGGGCCAGTTGGGGTGCGCTGGTGTAACAGAAGCATCACTTCCCACGGGGGAGGAGGTGAATGACCAGGTGCAGCCTTGGTCTCTGGAGACTTTGTACAATGCAGGGTCCAGGGTGGTGTTGAATACACTGGGCTGTTTAGTACAGTATCACTCATTTTTTTTTTCTCCCTTGGTAAGGCAAGAATGTTGTACACCAGTTGTCTGTAACTCTTGAAGACTTATATAACGGAGTCACGAAGAAATTGGCCCTCCAGAAAAATGTCATTTGCGAGAAATGTGAAGGTAAAAATCAATTTTTGACTGAATCTCACAGTTCTGATCTCTTAGATTTGGAACCATGTCTGCCTATTCTGTACTTCAGAGAAAAATCCTTTGTCTTTCCAAATGCAAGGGTCAAGCAGAGGGTGTGAGCAGGTGTTTCCAGGGCCACATTTGTTTGCCTGAATGAGTGTTCCTTTGAACGGCACCTCTTGAATATGTTGACTATTCTTTAAAAATTTTACAAATCAAGACAGTTCACCTGTCTAGGAGTTGGCAGGCTTTTCCCATAAAGGGCCAGAGAGTGACTGTTTTAGGCCTTGTAATTACTCAACTCTGCCATCAAAGTACATCAATGAATAGGTGTGCCTGGTTCCAATAAAGCTTTATTTATAAAACCATGCACTCTGGCCATAGTTTTGTAATCCCTGATATAAATGTAAATGTAACTACCATAACTTTTAATATATATTTTATTTATTGATGAACCATAACTTTTGAGAATCTGAGTTTTCAAGAAAAGTCAAGTCTGGTGACCCCAGGCCCACCTTATCCCATAGAGCATTGGCTGAGCTGGGTGGCCGCCCGTGGTGACAAAACTTGTGTTCCCTTGATCTCCACAGCCCTGGCTGCCTCATTAACCTGAAGGCATGGGGTTTTTCTCACCCTGGGGTGGAAGAAAACACATTTAGTGAAACTAAAGTGATACATTTGATTGGCACAGCCCAAAACACAAATGTTTGATAAACAGATGTTATCTGGGTGGTGAGACTCAGACTCCTCTGCATTTTTTGTGATCATCAGTAGAATCCCAAACCCGGTGTCCAGTGTGAGGTTCCACCGTCTTCTGCTGTGGCGCCCCACAGGGAAACTGGTGGAGGGCACAGCTCTCACTCCTACCTCCTGCCCCCACCCGCAGGTGTCGGTGGGAAGAAGGGATCAGTGGAGAAGTGCCCGCTGTGCAAGGGGCGGGGCATGCAGATCCACATCCAGCAGATCGGGCCGGGCATGGTGCAGCAGATCCAGACCGTGTGCGTGGAGTGCAAGGGCCAGGGCGAGCGCATCAACCCCAAGGACCGCTGTGAGAGCTGCAGCGGCGCCAAGGTGACCCGCGAGAAGAAGATTATCGAGGTACATGTTGAAAAAGGTGAGGCTGGGCAGAACTGGCGCCCCCGCTGGCCGGCAGTGCTACTCGGGTGCCCATTGCGGGCCACACAGGTTAGGTGGCAGGGAAGCAGCTGTGTTACACACCCACCAGGGCGTGCCTGAGCTCCTCCTGTTTCCAGCTCATCTTCTCTTGACCCTCCCTGGCCTTGTTTCCGTTCTGTGTCACCTGCCAGAGTTTTCTTGCTGAAATCTGCTTCCTTGAGATCACACGATCTTTTTTGAAGGGTTTCTAATGCTCTGAAGTCTTCCTCAACCTCAGCTTTGGTTAGTTGCCATCTCCTGACAGCCTGAAACCATCCCACTAGAATCTTCTGGTGCATTCTTCCTAATAGCTTTCAGTGCTCATTGGCCGTAAGAACATGTCTGAGCCTTTGTGGCTGTGTGTTCCTTTTCTCCACGTCCCCTCTGCTGCATAGATTCTCCCACGGGCAAAGCTTTCCTCTGCTGTTCATTTTGCCTAACACCATCATTTTAAGGCTTCTTTCAATCTCAGCTGATCTCCAAGTATCCCCTGATGATGCTGAGGCTTTCTAATCTAGCGAGCATATTCTAGATCAGAGATGAGACGAAAAGGAAAAGAATCAGACACCTGAAGCCACAGTGGTGTTGTTAAAGGACTTCCTGTTTAAACATACTTGAAGCTCAGGCCAGGAAAGGCACAGAGAGGGACAGGGCTGCTGTGCAGTCCCCAGAGCCATGTACCATGTGCACTGGGAAGTGGGTGGTAACAGGGTGACAGGGCCTGGGCAGGATGTGTCTTGTGAACCTGGGACATGGGGCCTCATCTGCCCTCTCCCTGAGCCCACTTGGCTCGAGCCCTACTTTCTGCTGAGGGAGGCGGGAACTCTTTCTCAGTGATAAGCCCTGCCACCCTGCCCTGCCTCCTGCCTGCATGAAGTTGGGAGGTCTGATGAATAAAGAATCCTTGAAGGACCTTGTGTTCCTTCTTCAGAAGCTTTGAGGATACTTACCTGGCAGGGGAGAGACCATGGTCATGAAGGTGGTTTTCCCAGGTGAGGCATAGGCATTACACTCCAGCTGTGCCCTGTGATTTCCCCAAATGTGGGAAACTTGACTGCGAATGAGAAAAAGCAAAACAAAAACCTTGAGGAAGAATGGTGTGTATGAGAATCAGCTACTCAGCAAGGGATGCTGTTTCCCAGGTATGAAAGATGGGCAGAAGATACTGTTTCATGGAGAAGGAGACCAGGAGCCTGAGCTGGAGCCTGGTGATGTCATCATTGTGCTTGATCAGAAGGATCATAGTGTCTTTCAGAGACGAGGCCATGACTTGGTCATGAAAATGAAAATTCAGCTTTCTGAAGCTCTTTGTGGCTTCAAGAAGACGATAAAAACACTGGATGATCGAACACTTGTGATTACATCCAAATCAGGTAAGGCTTCAAATGTGGGTTTCCATTGAGGTGGTTCTGAATGTGTAGCACTATCATTTTAGCAAGTTTTTCTGATTTTTAAGGTTGGTACATAATTCTTTTCATATTTATGAGGTATTTTGTTACATGCATCAAATGTGTAAGTCAAGCCAGGATACTTGGGAATACCCATCACCTTGAGTATTTTTTATTTCTGTGTGTTGGAAACAGCCCACACATTTAAGGTGGACTTCTGTTACACGAGTTATTTTGACTTGATTTTCTCCAGATTTAATGTTATCACTAATGACTGGAGAATTTTTTGAATTTCACATATATACCCCCCCCAAAAAGAAATTCAGTGTTGGGGTGGGGGGGGGAGCTTCAAATAAGAATCTTGGAGGTCTAAAATTCTAGCCGGAATCTGCCCATTAAGCTTAAATTTTAAAAAATTAATTTTTTAAATAAAACACAGCTGATAATAGTGGTGTTTTTCTATCAGGTGGTGATCCGTGCTGATTCATCCACATGCTCCTCTACCCTCTGTGTTGTCTATTACATGAGAGACATTTTAAAATAGAATCTTCCTGAAAAAAAAGACATAGCCCATCAGCTTATCCTTAGAGGCTTCCACAGGAACTGCTGTCTACACACACCCATGGGAACCAGAGGGAGCAGCCTCTGGGCAGAAAGGTTTCCCCAGGGCCTGGGCTCAGCCCCCTCACGCTGGTCAGACACAGGGCACCCGCCCCCAGAGGGCTGGCATTTACTGCACTGAAGGGTCCATGTGGGCACCAGAGCACCTGCGTGGAAGGGGCTGAGGAGGGAGAGGCCAGGCTAGAGACCTGGGCTAGACTTTGCTTCTGGATAACACTGAGGTTAGCTATATGTGTAAAAGGTTCTGGGTGAAGCCACCCAGGTACCGGAGACCCAGCACCATCCATGAGCAGTGCTGCTCCAGTCCCCTTGCTGGCCACAGGGCTGGGGGGTAGCTTTTCCCATGGCCATCTGAGGATTGGGGATAGAGGGCGAAGTTAGGCTGAGGGGAGGTAACCAGTTGATAAGCCTGTCCTTGCGCAGTGGCAGCTGGGGATGAGACTCGAAGTCCAGTGGGGTGAGTGAGGCCCAGGCTTCTGCCTCCATGCCCGTGTCTCCCTTTCCTTCATGCCTGCGTCTTCTCGCCAGCCTTGTGCTCCATCTTTGTCACCTTCTTCTCTTTGGTTCTCTCTGGTTCCTCCTTTTCTGGGGATAATATGAAATGGAATTACATATCCAAGCCTTGGTCAGTTAGTGGGCTTTTTTCTTTATTTGAGTCAGGGTCTCACTGTGTTGCCCAGGCTGGAGTACAGTGGCACAATCATGGCTCATTGCAGCCTCAACCCCCTGGGCTCAGGTGGTCCTTCAGCCTCAGCCTTCCAAGTAGGTGAGACTACAGGCACGTGCCACCATGCTTGGCTAATTTTTTTTTTTTGAGTTGGAGTCTCATCATCACCCAGACTGGGATGCAGTGGCACGCTCTCGGCCACCGCAGCCTCAACCTGCTGGGCTCTGGCAATCCTTCCTCCTTAGCCTTCCAAGTAGCTGGAATTACAGGCACCTGCTACCACACCCAGCTAATGTTTTATTTATTGTAGAGACGAGGTCTTGCCAAGTGGCCCGGGCGGGTCTCGAACCCGCGGGTCCAGGCAGTCCACTCACCTCGGCCTCCCAAAGTGCTGGGATTACAGACTGAGCCACCAAGCCCAGCCAGGCTAATTTTTAAAATTTGTTGTAGAGATGAGGTCTTGCTGTGTTGCCCAGGCTGGTCTCAAACTCCTAGGCTCAAGCAGTCTTCCCACCTTGGCCTAAATGCTGAGATTACAGACATGAACCACTTGTGCCTATTTTTTTAAAAAAACAACTTTTTATTTGGAAACAGTTTCAAGCTTACAAAAAGTTGTAAAGATAAAAACAGTCCAAGGCCCACTTGCCTGTCCTACCATTTACCCCATTTGGTTTTTCATTTGCTTGTGTATGTTTGTATCCACAATCTTTTTTTTTTTTTTTTTGAGTCAGAGTCTCACTGTGTCGCTCAGGCTGGAGTGCAGGGGCATGCTCATGGTCACCGCAACCTTGAACTGCTGGGCTCAGGCGATCTTCCCACCTCAGCCTTCCAAGTAGCTGGAACTACAGATGTGCGCTGCCACGCCTGGCTTATTTTTTGATGTATTGTAGAGATGAGGTCTCACCAAGTTGCTCAGGCTGGTCTCGAACCCCCAGGCTCAGGCAGTCCTCTTGCCTCAGCCTCCCAAAGTGCTGAGAGGACAGGTGTGATGAGCTACTTTGCCTGGCATGCCTCCATATTTTTAATCAAGGATGGGGGAAGAACTGCAGTGTGATGCAGATTGTGCATGAAAATGTAAACGCCTTCCTCCAGCCTTCATCCTGTCGACCTCCTGAGGCCCATGTGGCCTCCCCCCTTGAGGAGGAAGTCCAGGGCACTGGTTGTGAGCAGACATGTGCTGTGTACCCCAGCATCGTGTCCAAGGCCCCTTCACATGGTCCCAGCCCAGATCTAGCTCCTGAGAGCCGAGCCAGGGAGCATCTGTGTGCAGCTTTGGGAAAACCTGTCCTTGACTGGGGTGATGACTTGAGGTTCCAGGTCAACATGGCAGGACTCCCTGGTGCAGTGCCCTGTAGAGGGACTGGAGCCAGCACTCCTTGCTGCCTCAGCTGACCCCAGACCAGGGGACCTGGGAGGACAGAGTGAGGGTAGTGAGAAATGAGCGTTAGAGGGAAGGAAGTGGCAAACCCCAAGAAACCCCCTTATAACTAAGGAAGGACAGAGTATCCAAAAAGCTGGGGAGTTCTGCTGTCTTTGCTTTTTCTTTGTTTTCATTTATTCCCCCCCCCCACCTTTTTTTTTTGCATTCTCAATTTCTTCATCCCTCTCTTGTTCTGGCTTGTTTCTTGTTTCTTCGTTTCCTCCTCTCTCCCTCTTTTCTTCTGCTGTAGAAATGCCTTCCTCCCCAGAGCCTTAGTGTGTCTTGAGCATTGCTGAGAATTGGGTTCATGAGAAAAGTTACTTAGGAGCCACACCAGGGTATGATGCCCTGGTCTGCAGGCCGATGCTCACCTCCTGGAAGAGCCCGACTCTGATTTTCCTCTCTTTTTTAGTTTTCTTTTGAGTTGAGGTCTCACTCTGTCACCCAGGCTGGAGTGCGGTGGCACAATGATGGCTCACCGCAGTTTCACCACCTGGGTCAGGCGTTCCTTCCGCCTCAGCCTTCCCAGTAGCTACGACTACCACCGAACCTGGCTATTTTTTTTTTTTTGTAGAGATGAGGTCTTGTTATGTTGCCCAGGCTGCTCTCAAATTCCTGGGCTCAAGCAATCCTCCCTGGCCTCCTAAGGTACAGGGATTACAGGCATGAGGCACCGTGGTAGCCATGGTCTTCATTTCTTATCTGTTGTTTTCCATGCTTGGTCTCCCAGTTTCCCAGCTCCCAGCAAGTTAGCAGCAGAAGCGTGGGGATGTGGGCTCAACAGCAGCAAGAAGTGATACCTTAAGAAAAAAAAAGAAGTGACACCTGATAGGAACAGGGAGATAGAAAAACTAGTCACATGTCACTTACCGATGGGGATGCAGTCTGAGAGCTGTGTTGTTAGGCGATTTCATTGTGCAAACACCGTAGAGTGTACTTAACAGCAAGCCAGATGGTACAGCTGTGCGCTGTGGCCGTTGTGCCTAGGCTATAAACCTGTACAGCATGTGACTGCACTGAGTACTGTCGACAGTTGTAACACAGTGCTAAGTGTGTATTGTAATCTCATGGGACCACCAAGACATGTGGCCCGATGTTGACAGAAACATTGTTATGCAGTACATGACTGTACTTCAAAACACAAACCAAGAACACGAAAAGTCCAGCAGCCGGGAGCTGTGCAGCCAAGGGGCCACCATCCTGCACCTCAATAGGCTCCGAGGGCCGAGTCTGAGTCACAGCCCTGCCCCTGGATGACCCCCAAGGATAGAGAGTTGTCAGCACACTTTATTTTTAAAGCCGTGTATGACGTACCTTTAAAGATTTCTCTTGCGAGATGTCACTTTCTGACTAGTCCCCTTCTGGGAGAGGCTGCTGAGTAAATTAGCTTCCAGCTTCCTTCCTTCCCTCCCTCTGGTTTTTCTGAATGTTCTCTTTGTCTTTGTCCATTTTCACCATGAGCTGAAGCACATCCTTTTTCAGACCCTTTTGTTCTTTTCTCTCCCGTGTTTGGGGGGAAATCCCATTTTTAGACTTGGGGGAGAGCCTCGGCACTCTGAGGGTCCAGACTCTGTGTTGCTTCTGCAGACACAGTTGTGAGACCCAGGGGGCGCCAGCCAGGAGTGTGACCTCAGCTCACCAGTGTGTGCGGAAGGGCTCCATGCTGTGCCGTGCCATGCCGTGCCCTGCCATGGGGAGACTGCCGGCCGGAGCCACCTCCCTTCCCAGGATCTTGGCTGTCACCTGCAGGTGGCCCTGAGCCAGTTTTCATACCAGGTGTGGGGCTGGTTGGACTCAGTTGAGGCCTCTTCCTGCTCCAGGAGCTGCTTGAGTCTGTGCGGAGCAGATCTGTCACCACCTAAGAGACAGGCTGGCATGTGCTGTCCCCATTTTATGCAGACTTTGGTGTTGTGATGTCTGGTTCACTTTTTTGTTTTTTTTTTTTGAGTCGGAGTCTCACTTTGTCGCCCAGGCTGGAGTATAGTGGCATGCTTACGGCCACCATAGCCTCAACCTGCTGGGCTCAGGCGATCCTTCCACCTCAGCCTTCCAAGTAGCTGGAACTACAGACATGTGCCACCATGCCCGGATAATTTTTTGATTTATTGTAGACACAAGGTCTGCCAAGTTGCCCAGGCTGATCTCAAACCCTTGAACTCAGGCAATCCTCTTGCCTCAGCCTCCCAAAGTGCTGGGATTACAGACGTGAGCCACCACACCCAGCCTGGTTCACTTTGAAGCCTTCCTATGATGGAGGCTTCAGCATGCTGCCCCTTTGACACCCTGCTGGAGCCCCGAGTATGGGTCAGAGAGTCCCACTCCAGCCCCTCTACCCAGATAGTCCCTGACAGGATAGCTCTATTGCGGCCAGCTTGCTAGTCAGGTGCTGCCTTCCCCCTGCCTGTCACAGGGGCCAGGGCCTGCCCAGGCTCTCAGAAGACGGCCCTCTGGGGCCCCTACCTTCCTGTTTCATAACTACCCTTCTGTGTGGCAGGTGAGGTGGTCAAGCACGGGGATCTGAAGTGTGTGCACAACGAGGGGATGCCCATCTACAAGGCGCCCCTGGAGAGAGGGACTCTGATCATCCAGTTTTTAGTAAGTTCACTGTGTTTTCCTCTCATGGGACATATTTGTAAATGCCTTAGTCGAAGGAGAACAAACAAGGACCTTTCTTTCCCACCTCACCCTTGACAGGTCATCTTTCCAGAAAAACACTGGCTTTCTCCAGAAAAGCTTCCTCAGCTGGAAGCCCTGCTCCCGCCTCGACAGACAGTGAGGATTACAGAGGACATGGACCAGGTAGAGCTGAAGGAGTTTAACCCCAGTGAGCAGAACTGGCGCCAGCACCGGGAGGCCTACGAGGAGGACGACGATGGGCCCCGGGCCGGTGTTCAGTGCCAGACGGCATGACGCATGGCACACGCGGCCTCGCCGGACTCACATACGGTGAATGTAACGTTGGCACAATGAAAATGGCATCGCTTTCATGGCCTCGTGTCTGGGGTGTCCTGTGTATGTGTTCAGCATCCTTCATTGCTGAGTGTCTTTTTGGTTTTTCTTTTGCTTGTAACTTGAGTTATAGCTTAATTTATATTTAAATGTTTTAAGTGTCAATCACTTCTAGTCTGCATATGGAATTTGTTCATTGACATTTTCAGGATATACTTTGGAGATGCCAGTGACACACCGACACCTTGTGCTTCTAGCAGCTCTGCCAGGATTCAGTTCCACTCATACAGCGCAGCCCAGGCAGCAGCACTCAGTCCCTACCCAACCCCAAGGCACAAGGTGGGGTCCTTGCCCATCTCTAGGTCTGTGGTTTCTCTCTCCTCTTCCTCCCCTGGTAGAGGTATTGAGGGCATGATCTCAGGACTGCTAACAGGACATTTCTGAATCTAGAGTCTGGGCGATCCTTTTAAAGCATAAAAGCACATCTGTGGATTGGGCTTGGCTGCCTGTGCCTGCCTAGCACGCCCAGAGTTGCAGGGCTAACTCGGTTCCTGCTGTCCTGTGCTGGTTAGTGGTGGTGGGTGGGGGTGTGTGTGTGTCTGGTCAGCTCTTGGAAGTCTTTTGAAACTTCTGGGCCCCATGGGGAGGACAAACCTGTTTTAAATGATACGCTGACACAACTGTTTGCCTGTGACCCCCACACCTTGTCCTCTGTGCTTTCAATGGTTCTTTTGATGTTTGTAATGCTCTCCCACCAAAGTGCTTACTTGTAAAGAAAACGAAGCCCTTCCTTGTCCACAGCAGCCTCGGTGCAGCAGCAGCAGAAGCCAGGGGAGAATCTGGTGGTCGGGTCCCATGCCACAGCCAGCTTCTCTGACCAGGGATTCTGGGTGACTCGAGGGTCTAGAAAGGTGCAGAACTTCTGTGCTTTCCACCTCGTTCTCCCCCATCCGACTCCCTTCCAAAGGAGCGTTCCTCTCACTGCACAGCCATATCACAAAGGGCTTCCTGCTCAAGAGGCGATTTGGTGAGAACTGTACCACGCATTCTCCCATGGACTACAGATTGTATGGGTTGTCACTGTCAAGTGTAGCTTGTTTGCAGCGGTATTCATTATTACTTTATTCCTGGCAGATAGATTACAGTTTGAACTTAGGGGTACCTCAACCTTTAGCCATGACTGCTGCTTTCTCTCCCCCAAGTCATGAAGAAAAACCTTCTAAGCTGCTGGGTTAAAGCAGAGGCCGCCTGTCAGATCTACCCACCTTTGGTCATATGGTTCCTGAGAGTCTGTCTCAGGCCAGGCATTGCCCCTAGGAGGGTTGAAGGGCAGGTCAGACCATGCAGGTGAGGTGAGCCAGGTAGGTGGACCAGGTTCCTCAGAACATTGCTGGCTCCCAGGACACAATTTGCTCAAAGTATAGAAAGAGCCCACCTGTGCCCACTTTGACCATTGGTCAGGATAGACATAAAACCAATTCTTCCAACTAAGCCTATGTGACCTATGTGACCTAAAATCAGATTACAAATGGACCACAACTCCAGGGTGTTGTTTCTGTGCTGTGACTTACTAATAAATTCTTGCTAAAGAACTACTGTTGAGTTGGGGATGGAGCATTCGGCTCCTTGTCATGTTAGAGGATTTTGGAGGATGTTGCTTAAAATTCTATTCCACCTGTACATTTGTCACTTTAAAATTAAAATTAAGCTGGTATGAGACACATGTGGCTTTGCTTTTTCTTTCTTTGAGAGCTCAAATATCAGCGTTAAGTGCCAGCTTGCCCCACATTGGCTGATGTCATAGAATGAAGTTTCCACCCTCAGGAGCTTTATTCTGGGGGTGGTGGTAAATGCAGACGCCAGGGAGCAATGACTGCTATGAACAAGAAAAATGGGAAGGAAGGCCTCTACGCAGTTGCCATTGGAGCAGCTACCCGAATGCAGTCAGGGGCTAGACTCTGAAGGTCTGAAGAACATTCCAGGCAGAGGAAATGGCAAGGATGATGAGGAAAGCAGAGGCAAGAGAGAAGCAGGGGCTGTGAGCAAGAGCGTGGGCTCAATCCCGAGAGTGCTAGCTGGTGTGGGGAAAAGCACACGACCTGACTCACAGGCGCTGGCAGTTATGATCAATAAAAAGCTTCCAAGTATTTGCTGCCCACACCTTTCCCGCTAATATGCAGACCAGGTCTTAAGGAGGCTGCTGAAGAGACAGCTCCAAGGTACAGGTACTCTGAGGTAACTGAAGCAGGGCTGGAGTTCCATGTTAGGCACAGACTTGAGACTAGGCATTGCTAAGGCAGCAAGAACAGCCACCTGCCTTCCAGTGCCCACCCAGCAAGTGAGAGTCCTCTCTGAAATTAATAGGGTAAAAAGGAGGGCATGGCAGGGGACATCTTTACTACATCAACTAGAAGGATGCCTGGATAGGTAAGACCACAGAAGGTTCCATTCAGTCAAGTGTCCTGTTTCCTTCAGGACCCCATTCTGAAATAGATGAACTGCTTCATCACAGTGTCTGGGGGCGTGCTGCTGTATCTCACTCCATGAGTCAATCCCCTGCATGAGGAAGCCCGTATTTCTAAGCTGGAAAGTTCTACAAGTGCCTGGCCCTCTTCAACTCAGAAGCAGAGATTCGCTCTTAATGTCAATTCCTCTCACTACTCCACTAGTAACAGGGCAAATAAAAAAGCAGCATATTCAAGAACACAGGCATGTGCATTAAGAATGCTTTATTTATGTTAAAGTATGAACAGCGTTTCCATAAAACATGAAAACATATATCTACAAAATTTAAGTCTCTGCTACAATAAACACTCTATTCCCTTTAAACAAGCCTAGAAAGGTAGTAATGTCACAGTCAATCTGTACATTCTCTTTGCAGCATGAGCCTGGAAGACTTTGGTGTTTAAATGGGACAATCATAGATGTGAATTTCCTGGTCATCTCCAACAGACACAATTTTTGAGCCATTTCCATTATATTTTACTCCCCAGACCTGTAATTAAAAAAAAAAAAAAATCCTGCAAATGCCTTTATTCTTTATAAGGAATGTTTAGGAAATGAACATCCTTACTCTCTTGTCATTACTCTGAATCTAGAAAAACATTGTGACGAAGATATTCTTGTACTTGCTAAATCAGCAAGAATGGAGCCTTTTCTTCAACCAAGCATCTTTATTTATCTTTAATTACCATTCTCCTTCCCTCCCAGACTCCAAAAAATTTCATTTTTAAATACAGTACTCATTAAGATATCTACAATCCTTTCAAAGAGTCAGAATCTGGGAAAATCTAATACCAGGAAGATGGAATCCATAGGGGACCAATACTTATGCTTCCAGGAAGAAAAAGAGCCCATACCTACCCCCGAGGTCACTGCCTACAGGGAAAACTGAAAACTGCCCACCAGACTCCCTGTGCCCACTGCCCGCGGCCAGTCATTCTCACCCTGTCATTACAGGCCCACAGAGCCTGCCTGTCCCCAGGAGCTAGACAACATGGTGCTGGGGACCATTGATTTTATTCGCTATGTGTGAAATTAACAGATTCACACCTCCTTCCCAGACAATTGATGTGGCTGGAGTTTCTTTAATCAGGCATAACTTCTTGATTATCAGGAGGAGATTCTGGGCAGTCAGCCTGTCATCCCAACCCTGCGACAGGTGTCTAGCACTGATTTTAGTGTTGTGATTTTGCCACACAATGGCCTCACTTCTACTTCGAACATCTTCCTCTGAAACAGTACCACAATGACACCCACATACAAGTCAGCACAACTAGCCAGAACCTACTCCCTGAGTAAAATGTTTAAATCCAGAATTGGTATCAAAAGTCCCTTAATTGTACTGGCTATACTTCAGGGGTAAACAGAAAAGTGTGAGCAGGTATGTCAGGTAACTTCGAGTTGCATTCCAAAAAGAAGAAATATCTATAAGATCATCTAAAACATTTCAAATATGTTAAAAGTCGATTTTACACTGTCATGGGCATTTTGTCGTTCATGTTTAGTTCCCTAAGACCCTTGCCACTCAAAGGACCAGCAGCCTTGGCCTCACCTGGGAGCTTGTTAGAAATGCAGAAGCTCAGGCCTAGTGCCAGACCTGCCAAATCAGAATCTGCAATTTAGCCAGATTCCCAGGGGATTCACATACACATGACAGATGGAATAGTGTTACACCAGAGGAGAATACCACTTCATATTCACTTGGCAAAGATAAAGACTAGGGAGAACAGTTTTATCTTAAAGATTGAAACAAAAGTTATCAATATCACTAAAGCCAAAAGACTTTTAAGAATATCCAGCTTCTACCATATTTAAAAAAAAAAAATCACATCACTTCTTCGGACAGTTCCAAAAGTGACTGTTTAAGCAACAGAAGCATCTGAAGAGGAAGATCCTTACTGAGCCCGCCATGGCCCAGCAGCACCCATGCCACCGGCACCGCCTACACCACAGAAGGCCTCTAGTGGCTGTGCGGCTGACACCGTGTACTCTGGCCTGTGTAGGGCAGGCCTCACGGCTGCTGGGCTGCACTATGGACCGCACAAAGGAAGGCCCACTAAACAGGCACCCAAGCAGAACAGCTCAGACCCAGATCTACCAGACTCCAGAGCTCCAGCTTGCAAGGCTAGGAAAAGAAAAGCGTTCTGGGACAGTGATCAAACAATGCCAGCAGTCTAAAGACAAAGGGATTATCCATACCTGATCCTGGTGATCAAAGAAGGTGTGAACACAAGTCCTCGTTCCAACATCCCAAACTTTTACACTTTTGTCAGATGAACTATTTTAAAAAATGAATATCAGTATGAGAAAACAGTTTTCAGACAGACTTGAAGTTAGAAGGAATTTGACCAAAAATCACACACTCCTTCACTAGCTTATATTGTTTTTTCTTTTTGAGTCAGAGTGCAGTGGTATGCTCACGGCTACCACAGCCTCGACCTGCTGGGCTTAGGCGATCTTTCCACCTCAGCCTCCTGAGTAGCTGGAACTACAGGGATGCACCACCAAACCTGACTAATTTTTTGATTTATTGTAGAGATGAGGTTTTGCCATGTTGTCCAGGCTTGTCTTGAACTCCTGGGCTCAGGCAATCCTCTCACCTCAGCCTCCCAAAGTGCTGGGATTAAAGGCATGAGCTACCATGCCCAGCCCATTCTTCTAACTTCAGAGGCACCCCCGGTGTGGGTGATGGCCAGAATGCAGCATCACTTGTGGCTTTTCCTCCTCACAAGACAGCCATTTTCCTGTAATTCTGAGCTGCCTGGCCCTCATACTAAGTTGCTGTCAAACTTCTATCTACTTCTGGGCGAGAGGGAGGCCTATTAATTCTTCAAAACAAAGGCTCTCAGGAGGCATCTGGAAACCACTGTGCAGTACCTATAAGTTGTCAGTCTCATGTTTTTCTGTCTTGGCCATCCTGGGCCTGAACAACACTGGAGTCTATAAGCACAACATTTACAAACACACTTACTTGTTTTAGTTACTCTTGGAACACAAGTAGAGTAACTTTGGTAGAAGCCTAGATTTATAAAGAAAAAACGAAGAGTGGAACTATTCAAAAGAATTCACCTTTGTTCCAGCTAAGGCCAACTAAGGTCACTAAATACAAATTTTAAAAACTGCCACCTATATAAAAAAGGGCCATATAGTCTTCAATTTTTTATTTTTATGTTTATTTGTTTATTTATTTTTGAGTCGGGGCCTTACTCTGTCATCCAGGCTGGAATGCAGTGGATGATCACAGCTCACCACATCCTCAACCTTCTGGACTCAGGGGATCCCTCCACTGGGAAGGATTAACTGGGACGATAGGTGCATGCCACTATGCCCAGCTAATTTTCTGATTTTTTTTGTAGAGAAGAGGTCTTGCTATATTGCCTAGGCTGGTCTCGAATTCCTGGGCTCAAGCAATCCTTTAGCCTTGGCCTCCCAAAGTGCTGGGAATACAGGTATAAGCCACTGTGTCCAACCAGTCTTCAAATTTTAAGGCAACCAAACAGGAAGACTGCCTCATCTTCCCAGCATTTTAGAAACTACTAAGAATCATAAGTACCTGGAAACAAAGTGAGTGTCATCAGGACAAAACGCAACGTTTAGCACCCAGGAGGCATGGCCACTTAGCGTGCCGGCCAAGTTGGCGTGTTGTCTGAAATGGAAAAGGGTCAAACAAAATGGAGATGTTAATTTTTAGAATATCATCACTGAAGCAGAAAGTATATCACTACTTCTGCCCATAATTGGCTTGAATCTGCTATCCTTATAATGACCATGTTACTACATCAAAAACTCCTTTATAAATTTTATTTTTTAAACTTATTTTTAATAGAGTCTCACTCTGTCACCCAGGCTGGAGTGCAGTGGTACCACCATGGCTCACCACATCCTCAAACTACTAGGTTCAATCCTGAAGTGCTGGGATTACAGGCGTGAGCCACTGCACCTGGCCAAAAGTTCCCTTTTCAAAGTAGCATCATATGCTACAGAGACAAATTTTTAGAGCAGCATTAACCCACAATGTATTGACAGCACCACAAGCCAAGAATAAGATGTATAATAAGCAAAGAGCTTAGAAGCTCAATATAAAGAACCACACTACTGAGGCTCAGCAAGCCAAGCCCTGAGATGAGGAAACAGAACCAGCAGGGATGTGGCCATCTTAGGAGAGCGGCAGGTCGGATCCTGTCTGCACCAGCAACCCTGCCATACAGGCCCAGTGCCTCATGCCCAAGGAAAGCATCAAGATGTACTCTCGACAGATATGGGTACAGAGACCACCTCTAACCTAATCAAGAACAAGGCAGGTCTAATGACTACAGCCATTTTCACATTTTTAATAAACATGGAACCAAATCACCTATGGCAGGAGAACAGCACTAAGGCCTGAGGTCCGTAGTTTTACCTGTGAGACAGACCTCAGTAGAGTGGAGAGGCCTTAGTTAGGCGTCAGGAAGGGCAGCCTTGGTGGCATGCGGTGGGATCATGCGAGGTAAAAATCCTGGGTCTTAGTAAAAAGATCAGTGATTTGCCAAGGGTTCAAGGGGAGAAAGGGATGAACACAGGAATTTTAGGGCAGCAAACCTACTCAGGATGCTACTGTGATGTTGGACACATGTCATTATATATTTGTCCAAATTCACATAACACACAACACTAAGAGTAAACTCTAACGTGAACTATGGACCCTAGTTAATAACGTATCAATATTGGCTAAAAAAAAAAAAAATTCCTGGGTCTTCATTCAGCACCACCATCTTGGGCAGATCCCTTGTTGCAGTAAGGGGACACTAGTCTGTACTGCCACTTCACTATTGGGAGGGTCAATATAATAGAAGCAATGAAACTCATAAAATAGTCAGGTGTGGAAGGAATGGCTACATCTATCCTGGCTCTGCTCCTAACAGGCAAGTCCAGCTCCAGGAAGACACTTCCCTTATTTGGCTCTAATGCCAAGGCTGCAGTTCTAATTTCATGTCTGACGACCTTTGGCCATTCAACATCTGCCATTAGTAGGCTAAAAGGAGTAGTGTTCCTACTCCCAAAAAAATTCTCAGAGGCCCCTGAAAGGACATGCACGGGATGGCCCAGGACGTGCAGGTGGAGGCAATCTTGGCACCCATTCTGGGGCTGAAGGTGTGACATATGAAGTGGTTTAGAATGCCGTGTTCAGGATCAACGAGCCAGAGGCACTCCTGGCAAGAGAGCTGACCACAGCATCAAGGACACATGTCAAACACAACCCAGGGGATACCTCAGAGGGAACAGGAGTGGCAGCTGGGAATGATGGGAACAAGAAGAGAAATGGCCTGCACAGGCTCACAGAGAACCATAACCTGAGGACAGTGAGCAGCTCACGTCGACATTGGCAGTCAAGAACCAACAACACAAATGCTCCCTGTCTAGACCTGCAGTACGGAGGCTTATGAACTGACAGCTTCCTATCTAGGGCATTGGAGTATCTTCTGGAATAGCCATAGGGCTAAAAAACGGCTGCTCTAATTTTTTACTGTCACTCAGGGCCAGCACAGCCTCTGGCTCCATTTCTTCCTCTGTATTGTACTTACCTACCCCAAAGAATTCAAAATCAGCACAGCCAAAAAAGACAGGCTGCTTGAGAAAAAGTGGCAAGTACCTGATCCTCCCAAGGAACCCATGAATGTCTTCCTCCACGCCACCCTCAAGGACACACGCTAAGCTCAAAGACAGGGGTACTGAGAGGGGAAGACTGCCTGGGGAGATAAGGGTGGTCTGATGTGTCCTGAGCACAAATCTTTGTAGACCCAGAACAGAGTGTAGCACACTCCCTACAGCTCCCCCAACACAACATGGGCATCAGCAGTCAGCGAGATGCCTTTAGTCTCAACAAGGTAACTTACACATCATAGATCTTGATGTAGCCATCATCTGAAGCAGTGACGAGAAGCTGAGAGTCCGGGGAAAAGGTCAAGGAGCGAATGGGCATGGCATGGCCTGAAATCCACAAAGGCCCTTGTTAATCTGGTGAACCCATCTCTTCACATGGCTTCCCACTGACCATGCCCTTTTTAATGACCACAAGTCACAGAGTTGGACAAGTCACTGAGTTGAACTGCCCATGAGTTTCAGTCAGTAAAGGGAGGCCACTGACTAGGCCCTTTCTCTGAATGTTCTAGAAACATCCACATAATGGTAGCCTTTCCTCCCAGAGCAATTTCTCCTTAGTTCTCTTCTCTGACCTCAGCATACATTGCTTAACAAACACTCCTCTGCTACAAAGATGGTAAAACATGGAAATATGCATTGCTTCTGATTAGAATTCAAGGCAGTATAAAAGCATATGTAATAAAATCTCCCTCCTACCCTACCTCTGCCTGTTCTTTAACCACCCAGCCCTCTTGCCCAGAGGCCACCCGTGTGGAGGGTGGGCATGAGACATGCATTTACCTTCAAGTTAGCAACAAAAAGGAGTTGTTTTCCAATCACAAAGTTCTTTAGAACCAAAAATGACAGAAACCAGACATTCATATAGCTAAGATACATTAACACATAAAAGTTTTGTTCACCAAAATAAGCATGTGACGCTGTAACAAGAACCAATATATCTAGGTTAAAACTACCTAGTAACAAAATTAAAACCTGGAGGGCATTTCAGTTTTCCAACTGAGATTGATATCTTATACATCTAATGCTCATTTGCCACGTAATGGCATTTTAATAAAAGAATAATTCTTCCTTTGTGATCTGTGATAACCCAGTTTGTAAAAGTAAGATGATGAGCTATACCTTCCAGTGTGTGCAGAAGTTTTCCAGTTGCAATATCAAAAATATTGATGATTCCATCTATGGCTCCACTGGCCAGATATTTCCCATCAGGACTCTATTCAGAAAACATAAGGAAAAATGAGCACTGTGAGACTCCATGTTGTTAAGTTATACCTACTAACACAAGCAAACATTCTGCTGGCCACAGGTCTAGCCGGTTGGCTGGCAAACCACACCAGTGAGACAGCAGCTGCCTGACGAGACCAATGCAGAATCTGTGCCAAAGACCACTATGTGCTAGAAGGGTAAACCAAAATAATCAGAGCAAGTTAAGAGAGCAATGTTTCTTACATATGCAATACTAAGAATGAATTTTCCTCTTGTGTCCAAAGAATATTCCTTTTTCCCACTTTCCACACCAAATATGTTCACTTTTCCCACATGAGTTCCTGTGGCCAGATACTGGGAATCAGGGGAAAAGGCCAAAGTCCAGGCATCCACTGAACAGAAAAAAAAAGGAAAAAAATACAGTGAGAAAAGATCTGACCTTAATTACAAAAACTAAAGTTTTACCAAAAGATACATTTTTTAAAAAAAAATTGGAGAAACGTGTTAATACAGAAAACTATGTTGTAAAGATGCTAACTCTTTGCCCAGTTTCTTAATTTTTTGTTAAAAATTCAGGGCAGTACCAAGCATTAGTTGGATGGTGGATAAACCAGAACCCTCATAAACTGATGGGAAAATAGTACAGCCACTTTGAAAACCAGTTTGAATTTCTTAAGTGAAAACGAACACTTATGATAATATCTAGCAATTCCACTCCTAGATAGCTACGCCAAATAAATGAAAACATACATCCACACAAAGACCAGTACACTCATGTACACAGCAGCTTTATTCATAATAGCCAAAACCTGGAAACAATCCAAATGTCCATCAACTAGTAACTGGATAAACAAATGTGATATACCCTTACAATGGACATCTACTCACAATAAAAAGGAAGAAATCCATGCTACCACATGGATGAACCTCAAGACATTATACTAAAGAAAGAATGAAAACATATAATACAATTCTACTTACATGAAATTTTTCAAAAAAGGTGAAATGGTAGAGACAAAAAGCAGATCAGTGGTTGCCTGACACTGGGGGGTAGGGGCAGGGATTGCCTATAGGTGAGCATGGAAATATTCTAAAACTGAATTGAGGCGAGTTGCCGAACTGCAGAAATCTACTCAGTGAACTTTAAATGGATGAATTTCATAGTGCAAGTATAGAGGTAAAGTTTGACCTCAAGCTATAAATAGAAATGTGGCAGAAATACTTGTACATAAAACTATAATATGACAAGGTATTTACTACAAATTAATAAAGAATAAGGAACCCCTTTTTTAAAAATTAGTTCTTAAGTTATACCACACATTTTAGTTAAGAGCTCAAGAGTTCTATCCAAGTATTATTTATGCCTCACAGTGCTTCTTCAGTCACACTCATATGCAGTTGGTGCACGCACAGGTACTGCAAATGTTCATCTGGACCACTGATGTATTTTATCATTTTTTTCTCAGCTTCATGGGAGCCTCTGCCCTTCAGAGGCAACCTTACAAGCTTTGGGAACAGGGTCAGGGCCTAGAGGCCAAGAAGCAATCTTCTAGTCTGCTCTTCCCAAGCCCACTCTTACATGGGAACACTCCTAAGGTCCTGCCCCGTCTTGCAACTGCCAGGAACAGTGCTGGTCAGATCCAAGGGAAGAAAGACAAGGACTCTTTCCCAAGTCACCTTCCTCATTCCAGGAGCAGGGCTCAAAGAGGTCATGACTGCGGCCCTCTGCTACCCTTTTTAGCTCAAGGGACAGTAAAGGTGGGGAGGCCTCTGAATGTGTCTCATGGTAGACAGGGCTCCAGCACAGACAGGTAACTACCATATCTAGGATGTTTTAAAAAATATGTCTTTAAAATTTCCACACACATATTCAAAGCAATAACAACTCACTTAACTCTATCTTAGAAAATGTCATAGAAATTACATTCACTTCAAAAGTGCTCAGTTAACCAATAAGACCTGCAAAAGCTTTAATCAACCTCTCAAATAGCTGTTTTTAAATATCTTTATTCCCAAATGACCACAGCATTTATTCCAACAGGATTGTTTCCTTATTCCTATTATAATTAGCCATTTGCGGGGATAATAATTGCTAGAAAACCTGTTTTTATCCTCATAGTTTAATAAAATACTTCTATATTATTTTTACATTTCCTTATTCACTGTTTTGCAATGTGTAACTTTTAGTACCCAATGTCCTTATGCTCAAAATAGGAGCAATTTTTATCCCTCTATTAAACCTTGTACTCTAAGATTTCATTTTAATATTTTCCTATTAAATATTTATTTTAATCAGCTCCACTCATCACCCCAAGAGCTGCTTTTCTTTGCCCTTGGGCATCCTGAGTACCTGACATTGGGAGGCCTCTGTATTCCCAGCTTTGCTCTCCTTCACTGCTGGCTGCTAGAAAACTGCAGCTTGGTTGGGCTGAAAGCATAGGGTCTTCCCCTTCATTTTTGCTTTCTTCTGTTTCCCTGCTTTCTTCTCCAGGATCTGGGACTTTCTCTCTTCTTGTTTTCTCTTCCTTTTGTGGTGGTTCACATTCTCTATGTATATTTTCAAGATAGGTAAAACTTAAGTGTCCATTTTCCCTATATTCATTAGTCTGAAACTCAACAAAGGAGTTTTACCTTCAGATGAATTCAGCTGCTCTTCAGCTGTCAATAGCGATGCTTGTTTTTGTTACTTGACCAAATAGCCACTGTTTAATGGTCTTATCTAGTTTTGTGCACAGTTCTATCCAAAAAGAAGATAAGCCCAACTCCTTTATTCTTCTCAGTATATTTTTCTTTCTAAACAGTAATAATAACCCAGTACAAGGTACTGCTCGTCAAAGAAGGCAAGTTGGATGCATATGCCATCCTTTTACTTGAACTCAATCCAGTACTCATTTCTTCCACTGCCATGTGCCCAGGGCCATAACAACCATGCAGTGTTAGTGAGGGAGGGCCCAGGTGCCTGGGATTAAAAGGCAGCAACAGGGCTGCCTCTTCCTCTTCTCATGACCCCTCTTGCATATCCGAGTCTTCATAGACTTCACAGGATGGTTTGAGGACCCAAGTCCTCTGGAAGTAACGCAAGCAGGGTAAGGGCACATGCAAAGACAACAATCTGGGGAGCCTATGCACCAAAAACTGTGATTCAGTGGTTCCAAAAGGCAGACTGGCATGAGTATTCTTTAAAAAATTTCCAGTAGTAAGAACCACAGACGAGGAATACTGCTTCAGAGGGGAAATACACTATGTTTTCCAAACAACCCAGACTCCTTACAAACTGGGACAATCATTGTTTTCAACACAGGAATGGCCTAGAGTGGCTACTGAGCACAACGGATAGGTAGCAAATCCATCCGGGCGCCAATCACAGGAGTTAGTTAAGCTATGTTATGCCAGTCACCTATGCAACCTTCTACAATCAACCCACAAAGGGGTGTGCCAGAGGCGCCAGGCTACCTGTACCCTCTAGCGGCCACCACCCATTGTGGCAGAACAGGCTCTGCAGGTGAATGCTATGCAGTCATTTACAAGTAACCACAGGGCGCAAAGGAATCCTCAAGTGTTGCACTGCTTGTTCCACATTAGTCCGGTCCACTGACATCATTAATTCCCATCATGTCAGATGATGTTTATCAAGGCTGATGGACAAGATTATAGTGTCCTACAGTACTTTAAAAAATCAATGACTTTTTCTCTTAAAAAGTTTCTTATCTATCACGTACTAGAAATCAGACCCTTCACTCAAAATTAGTAGCGATTACTACAACACAGAGCTATGAAGACACACTGCTTTACATGCGAGGCTTCTATAAGGCAAGGAAGGTATCGACTCACAATACAGCAAATAGGGAACCTTTAGCATCATCCAAATACAGGTCCACAATCCCACATAGCTATTCTGAAACCCAAAAAGCTCTGACAACTGTTTGTCCATAGGTTCACTACCAAAATTCATGTGGCAGTAAAGCCTGATCTGAAATTACATGTTTATTTATTTGTTTCTCTTAATGTAAATACCCAAGTTTAGTTGTAGAAACCTAAGTTTATGATGAGGGTGCTGTACCTAACCCCACTGAAAACTTTATGTGACATACAGTTCATGCCATGCCCCCATATCACCCATCCCAAGACCCAGAAGTTCTGACCTGTAAAACACATCTATCCCTAAAGGTTTTGGAAAAGGGATTATGAACCTCTATTACCTCCCTTAAAAGTAAAACTCTTACCAGGTCCTGCATCTATAGACTTTATCTGTTTGCCGTTTTCCAAGTCCCAGAGACGGATATGAGCATCAAGAGAACTGGATGCAGCAATGGGCAGGGTGTGGCTGATGTCCACAGACACCACCCCCAGCTGATGTCCCTCCAGACTCCACTGCAGGTCCAGCCTCTCATCACGCCTTCAACAGGGGACAGAGAAATGGATATCTTCAAACACAACTCACTGTACCTCGTCCCTGAAATTCTGGGTCCCTGTGACTATGCATTATCAGTGGTCTATGAAATACAGAATTAGAAAAGAACTGATGAGATACAGAACACCAAATGCTGCGAGGGTTTCACTTTGTGATTTTTTTTAAAAGCCACTTTTATTTATTTACTTTCCATTAGTTTAAATTCTTGAGGGGTACAGCATTACACAGATTCTGTGTCCAACGGCCTTAGCAGGAAGGTTGCTTCGGAATTTGGCACAAACTATGCCACTGTTTCCATGGGCCCGAGTTACCTTTCCCCATATTACTCTGGTTTTGTTTTATTTGCTGCCAGTAGTCACTGTGTTGTTCTTTGCTTTACATACATAAGCACATCCCTTGCCCAAATAGAATTCTGTTTCATCTTGGGCATAAACACCTTCAATTTTGAGAAGAGCTGTGTACTCCCTTTGGTTCCAGAGACCTCACTTATAGCCAGCAAAAATGTGATTTTTTAAAAAGAAAACACTATAGGACTTTAACACCAAATAACAGGAAAACAAGTGAGAAAAAATAAGCTGCCATTTTATATCACCATATTGCTGTTGCTTTCTTTCCTAGAAAAGTTAATACTTCCCTGATTGCAACTTGAGCCCAGAAACAAAACCCTAGCGCCCACTTTTCCAAGGCTGGGTGCTACAGAAGAGATGCTCACCATTTCCAGACCTTCACCAGGTCATCCAGGGATCCTGTGACCACTGTCTCAGAGTTTTCCTTCTTGTTCGTACCCCAGGCAACTGACCAAATGGCATCATCATGGGCTAGAATGGAAAGTGCTTCGTTTAGAAAGTTTTCATGCATGCAACTTCTAAGTTTAATGTGACAAAGTAAAGCTGAAATGCTGTTCAACAATTCGTATCTGCTATGCTGTTTTCCAAAGCACTTTCCCAGAGTTTTTATTGGAATTTTTGGGACACATATGAAAACTGGAGGCTCTGAAGAAGTCACTTGCCCTAAATCACATTTGCCAGGTAAGAAGACAGCACCAGAATAAGCCAGGTCTTCAGATTCCAAATCCAGCGACCTTTCCTTTTGCATGCTGTCTGGCATACAGCAGTCCGGAATGGCTATCACTTGATTAAAACAAGTAAAACCAGAGAGGAACTCCTCTCCCCTAAAAAGATCTAAACTTGCTAAGAGATATGCCTTGGAGATCTCTGGAAACTAGCAGGCAGTTCAACTGTAAACAGCACAGGTCTAAAAGTAGACACCTAATATAGCCTCCATACATAAACTGCCTTTCACTACAAGCATCTTTATTACATTAATGGGCCAGTTATTACATTATAACAACTCTATGACTTAGGAACTATTGATATCATCTTCATTTTATAGACAAGGAATCAGAGGCTTAGAAAGCCTAGGAGCTCACCCAAAGTCACAAAGCTAAGAGACAGAGCTAGGATTCAAATCCATCTCTCCATTAACTAAAGTGCACTTTAAATCTACGTCTGCAAGCTGTATGTCTGGTGGGGGCCACACTGGTGGGTCTGCAGACCTGGCGTGGGTATAAAATTGCAACAAGTGCACATGGAGGTTTTATCCATGCCTGGCAGCAATTCTCCAGGGTGTTGCCAAAATAATGAATATAAGGGCATTAAATTTACATAGCTGTGAGTTGCAAAGAATCATGGCTTCAATGACAATCCCCACCTGACCCAAGCCTGCTAACGTGCCACCTGGAACGGCATTAGCGATACACAAGGTAGTTGACTGGTGTGCCCAAGTAGCCTACTAGTTATCTAGACTAGTTAACTTGGAAAGAATGCTTTTGGCTTAAACTTTAGACTACCTAAATGTCACCTACTTAGAGTGGAAGAGCTTTAAAGTACTAGGCATTCCACAAGTTTCTCAGGCCTTCCCTAACTCACCCAGGCTAAACACTGAAGAAATGCATGAGTAGCTCATGCATAAATGCTTCTCTTTGCTGTAAGTAGAGGACCCTGTGTAAAGACTCCAAGGCAGCCGGGCTCAGTGGCTCAGCCTATAATCCCGCGCCTCTGGGAGGCTGAGGTGAGTGGATTGCCTGAGCCCACGGGTTCAAGACCCGCCTGGGCAACAAGACCTCATCTCTACAATAAATAAAAAAATCAGCCGGGCGTGGTAGCACATGCCTGTAATTCTGGCTACTTGGAAGGCTGAGGCGGAAGGATCGCTGGAGCCCAGCAGGTCGAGGCTGTGGTGGCCGGGAGTGGCCACTGCACTCCAGTCTGGGCGACAGAGTGAGACTCCAACTCAAAAAAAAAAAAAAAATACTCCAAGGCAAGTTATGAGCTGAGGGCAGGTCACTTCGCCTCCTAGATGAGCTGTCCTCAACAGAGTTCTTGGGCACAAAGTGTTTCCTTCTTCTATCCTGGCAGCTGGGAAGCTCAGTGGTGCCTACCTCCGGTGGGAAGGTTTTTCTCAGTCTGGCCCTCTCGAGTCTATCACATGACCCCTGCCATTTCTTTTTAGTCAGTTGCTTAGGTTTTGCTGTTGTTTGTTTAAGTGTATTTGTTTTTGGCTGCTTCTGCCAATCTTTGCAAAGTAAATATACTTGGGAACTACATGTCTGCTCAGCATGATGAAAATCTTAAAGAAACCAGGGACAACACAATGTTTCACAGATGAATGTGCTTGAACAAGCAGGCTACTTACCTTGCTCTTGCTTGAAGAGAATACTGTACTAAAAAAGAACAGAAGCTACATTAAACCCACGGTCAGATTTCAGATATCCCACATTCCCTTCCTGAAGCCTCTTCCCCAAGTAGATATGGTCACTACAGTGTTAGTTACATCCTCTGCTGACACCCTGGTCACCCTGCAAGCTCCACTATTCCCACTCATGCAAGATTTGTACAGTCATACCAGAAAAAAATTATTTAAAAAACTGATACTGCCTCCTTCCCTACTACCATTCCCCTTGGTGGACAAGACAAGAGACTCACACATTATATATTTTTTTCTGCTCTGATCACCAGGAAGCTTGGAGTATAGTTTGCAGATTAATTTTTGCAATTGTATACAACCACACAGCCTGCATAATAACTGGTTAACTTATTATAAATGTTTCCTCTGCTCTGATCTTTTTTATTTTTGTGTACAAAGTCTTTTCAGCTTCCACAATCCTCTCTAAACCATGACTTACATAAACTAATCCTCCTCTGAGTGTTGTACACTAACATACTAGTGCCACCTAACCCTGTGGTGACTGGGCGTCCAGGGTCAACAGATCTTTAGGAGCAGGGCAAGAATTAGATGCTGGTTTCTTGGCTGCATCCCCAGACAACCTACTGGACTTAAACTTGGCAAAGGGACCAACTGATGTTCTTCCCCTTGACATAGGCCTTACCTGGTTGGTCATTTCCTTAACCAAGGATGAAGGACAAAAGGCCAAACAGCTCTGTAGAAACAACACCAGAGTTTTAGTAAGGAGATGTCATCAGGACAGAGGGGGCTGCAGGAGGGTCCCCTTGGCCAAGAAAATACTTGCTAGGGGTTGTTCTGACACCCTTCTCTGGATCAGTCCCTGGGGCTCCCTTCACCAGTCCATCAGACAATATGAAGTTCTTCTTTCTCCCTCTGAACCTAGGGACTCAACTAATGCCTATTCCCATCCCATAGTTTCTTTTTCCTAAGTCTGACTTTAGAGAGTGACTAGTCTCTGTCCCTTGCTGTTCTTTAAAGAGACAAAACCACAGCTCCCTTCATATTTTTTTTAAATTTATTTATTTATTTATTTTGAAGCAGAGCCTCACTCTGTTGCCCAGGCTGAAGTACAGTGGCATGCTCAAGGCCACTGCAGCCTCAACCTGCTGGACTTAAGCAATCCTTCTGCCTCAGCCTTCCAAGTAGCTGAGATTACAAGCACTTGCCACCATGCCCAACTAATTTTTTGATTTATTGTAGAGACAAGGTCTTACCATATTGCCCAGGTTGGTCTTGAACTCCTGGGCTCAGGCAATCCTCTTGTCTCAGTCTCCCAAAGTGCTTGGATTACAAGTGTGAGCCACCACACCAGGCCAGCCCCCTTTTAATTTGAAATGTTATTTATTCAACAAACATGGGGGAGACCAAAGATAGCAAAGTTTTTATTTACATGCAGAGGTCTCAACCAAAAATGCCTTTAAGAGTCAACAAGCATGTAGATAAGGGCAGGGGCTAGGGAGAGACACATGTCCCCAAAAGTCATCAACATCTTCAAGGCCTTAGTTCAGCTAAACACAGACTTAACTTACTTGAAGAATATATTTAGGGCTCAGCAGCTCAGCCTGTAATCCCAGTTGGGGGACTGAGGCGAAAGGACGGCCTGAGTCTGTGGGTTTGAGACCAGCCCAGGCAACTTGGCGAGACCTCGTCTCAAGTAGCTGAGTGTGTAGTGCACGCCTGTAGTTCCGGTTACTTGGAAGGCTGAGGTGGAAGAATCACCAGAGCCCAAGCAGGTCGATGCTGGGGTGGCCATGAGTGTGCCACTGCACTCCAGCCTGGGCGAGAGAGTGAGACTCCAACTCAAAAAAACCCCAAAAAAGAATATATTTAATTTCTCAGGCTACATTAAGGTTTCTCACTTTTGTGTCTGTGTGCTACAGAGTCCTTTAGTAGACTGGAAAAGGCTATAAACCCTTTCTCAGGATATCTTTTAATACAGAAAATATATAGGATTAGAAAAGAAACCACATATAGTGGATTCTCATTATTCACGAGAGTTATGTTGTATGACTACAAACACTAAATTATCAAATAGTGAACCACCGCTACTCTGGGAAACAGAGTTAGGTTCCTGAAAGCCTCTGGGCACATTTTTGTCAATCAGCCAATACTTAACCAGGTTTTGTGTGTGTTTCTGTTTAAAAGTATCTTACTGAATATACATTAGTAATGCATTAGTATTGAACTCATGCCTAAACAAAGTTTATCTAACACACATATTTTCTCCATAAGATGCATCACAGCCTTCTTGAGCTTAGGAACAATAGACAACCCTTCAGCACTATGTTTGGGGGATATCTTAAAGTGGAATCGCTAAGAAAAAGGCACAAAAATGCAAAAAGTGAGGCACCAAAGAAAGCAAAAATGACACTTGTTTACAGTATGTCAGCTGAAACAAGAAGGCATAGGGTTACCTTGTTTGACCTTAGCTGAGAACCTGAGTACCAGGTGACTCAAATTTTTTACCACCTTGCACCATGTCCTCCAAAGACCACAAAATCATTGCAAGTACTGATTTGGGGCTACAAATAAATTTCAGCAAGTAGGTGAATTCAAAAACAAAGAATCCACAAACAATAAGGATAGACTGTCCAAATACAATTTTATCAAAATACAAAAACTAAATTAGTGATAGTATAGCAAGTGCTTCTGTATTAACACATCATATAAGAAGGCCTAACAGTGAGCCTAATTTAAACTACCATAATTTCAAAGTTGTAATGATCATAAACAATATTCTGAGATACAAAAATATCTGCAATTTCTATTCACAACAAAGTCACACTGCTGATACTGTGGCTTGTTGCCTACATTCACAATTGAAGAAAATGTTAAATTCCAGTTCGAGGTTAGGAAACATAAGGACACAGTTTTTCTCTGCATCCAAGTTTGTGGCCCCCTCAAGTCTGTCCTCAGGCAGTTCAGTTAGAGAAACCATACAGTGAGGGCATTCAGATTTAGGTTACTTGCTTTAAATCAGCAAATTCAAAAAGCTGCCAAAGGTTTTCCAAGAATTACAGACAATCAAACAAATGATTTCAGATTAATCCTTCTATGAAGATCTCAATCAGGCTGACAGTGTTTTATTCATTTATGACCAAGAATAGGCTTATGCCCAGAGGAAGAAATACAAAAGGAGCTCAAGTTAGCTTTGCTAACAGGAAGGCATTCACCCTCTGCCTGAGCACAGCCTTCTACCTGGTGAGACACAGGCTTGTCATCTTCCCGGCCAATCTGAGCCTCACATTTAGCAAGGAGAGAAACAAAAAAGTAGGAAGGTTTGCAGTAAGGCAACTTCCATAAAAACCAGTCTCACCAAGACAAAGGTGTGATTCTATCAATAGGCACACATTTGAAGATGTACTATGAATCAAGTCCTGTTTTAAGAATATACATATGAAGGAAGACTCCAAAAAACCAGAATTATCTTTTGGAGGGTGGGCCCCTTGCAGTACAGGTTTCCTACACTAGTTAGGTGTTCTAGGAACCCATCGGCATCAGTGTACCAGCTAGCATTGTTGTGAGAGGCTATGTTTGGCTTCAGTGAATTTTTTGGTGGCAACAGGTGACTAGGTCTTCCACCATGACAACATACCTGCCCACACTGTGCTGAGTGTTCAGCAGCTTTTGACCAAAAACGGCATGACCCCTGGGTCCCACCCTCTCTACTCACCTAATCTCTACCTGAGCAGTTTTTCGTCTTCCCGATGAAAAACAAGTTCAAAGGAAAATGTTTTGCTGATATGGAAGAGGTGAAGCAAAAAATGGCACAAGTACTAAAGGCATCAAAATGGATGAATTCAAAAACAGTTTTGAGTAGTGGAAAAAGTGTCTTGATAGGTGTACTGCATCAAACGGAGAGTGCTTTGAAGGTGACAGAAGTTTAAACATGTGAGAATAAATACACAATTTTTTTACATACATTGTTTTTTGGGGGTCTCCCCCTTATAGATTAGTTCATCGAACCTTCATAACCCCATTTAGTAGGTACAGTAGTCCCCCTACTTTGTCTGAAGTTTTGCTTCCCAGTTTCAGTTACCAGAGGTCAACAATGGTCCAAAAATAGGTGAATACAGTACAGTTAGACATTTTAAGAGACATAGTCACATAACTTTTATTACAGTATACTGTTATAATTGCTCTATTTTATTGTTAGTTATTGGTCATCTCTTACTGTTCCCAATTTATAAATTAAACATCATCACAGGTATGTATGTACTGTATAGGAAAAACACAGTCCAGATGCTCCCTGACTTACACACCTACATAAAGTTGAAAAATTGTCAACCAAATCATCGAAAGTTAAGTCAGGGACCTTCTGTATATACAGGATTGGGTACTGGCTGCAGTTTCAGGCATCCATTGGGGGTCTTGGAACGTACACCCCACGGATAAGGGGGAACTACTGTATTCTGATTATCAGCTCCACTTTCCTAATTAAAAAATGGAGGCTTAGAGAGGTGACGGACGCTTCCTCAAGGATAGTCTGACACTAAGAGGGCACAAACTGTAGTATATGACACCAAGATACATTCGCTTCCTCCAGTCTCTTCTCTCATAAAGATCATTTCAGAGCTAAGAGACCTCTGAGCCCCCTTCTGCCACCTTCTCCCTTTAGGAAAACTTTCCCCTAATTGTCTCAGGCAGGATTCACTGTTCGCTCCTCAGTGTTCCCAGCGAACACTACAGATGTCTCTTTTACAGAACCCACACATGTCACCAGCCCACAATATGACATGGCACTTGAAGGGAAGCGCCCCCAGCCTCTGCTTGTGCCTGCCCCCGACTGGGGGCTCGCCACCTAAGACAGCGTGGCCCACGACTTGAAAACTGCAGTTAAGACAGTCCTTTCATCTACGGGAAACTAGCCTTCATCTCGGGGCTGCACAGAACATTCACAGGACGCAAAAGAAGGCCCCCCACGGGCCTCCCTTCTCTCACTCCCCGTACATTGACAGGCAGCCACGGTAAATGCAGTCACGGCAGCCATCACTCTCGGGTCCCGCGGGCTGGAGCATCCCTGAACAAACCTGCTAGCAAGCTGCTTCCGGCCCGCTCTCGCTCACCCGCCCTCCGACCCGGGCCATCAGCGGCCACAACGACCACCGTCCCCAACCGCCGTGCGCTCCAACTCACCGCTACACCGCCAGCCTGCAAATCCGACGCCGGGCTCGGCGCGACTGCGACGCGTGCTGATGAGCTCACGAAGAGGCGGGGCAGCTCGTCAGACCACGCCCCCAGAGCCCCGGCGCGCGCCGCAGCGCCCCCTGCCGTCGCTACACCGCGCGCGGTGCAGACGTGGAGAAGGATGGGCGAGGAGAGGAGGGAAGAAGCCACACCCTGCTCGTTCTCTCAGAGTCGCGGCCTCTGGGAACTTGCTCCCGGAAGCGCAGAGTTTCAGCTTCCGGCACCTGCAGATTTAGGCACTTGGGTTCCGGTTTCTTTCTTTGTACTCTGAAGTTGGACTTCTGAGGCTTCTAGATGTCTTCTAGAGTTCTGTTACTATTTTTTTTGCTTAAAGCAGTGCGATCGAGCTTTTTCTTTCAGTCTGCAAGTCACGACCTTAGTGTGACGGATATCAAAGTAGTAGGTCGTGACAAGCATTTTAAACAATGGGATGGAAGGGAGGAGACCCTACCCCATCCTGGGGAGGCTGCCCAGGCCTCTCACTGCAAGAGGGAAGAGATGTTTTGGGAGCGGAATGTCTGGGGTTGTCCCTGAAGAGCTAAGCCCTGTTTCAGCTAGTCGTGGGAGAGAGTAGTTTCTCCAGATTGAAACGAATTAAAAGTTCAAAAAGGTTATAGTGGAAGGTGGCAGTCGTGAAGTATGGCCTCTGTGAATGCAAATCCTCGAAGTATCTTTGTCCTCTCTCCTTTTCTGGTAGTTAATGCTTCACAGAATCTCGTTTCTTAGGATTGAGGTCTATGATGATTTCGAAAGACTGTTAGACCACTTACAACTAGATAGCCATCTTTGGGAGTTTTTTGAGAAAGCTGTGTGACCCAGAGGTTTGCTGAATACGCCCACAAATCTCCCAGGGTCCTCAAATTCCCTGAGTGATACTCCTGTCCTTGGAAGCTTCATCTGGTCCCAGTGGATCCCCTGCGTACCACTGACATTGAAAGTTTGGGTCAAAGTGAGCATATTTCAAGATTAGATTGTCAAAATTCTTATATAGCACCTCCTAAAAGTCAAGATATCCTTGTAACCATTCTGGATCTCTCTGACCAGAAAGCATGTGCCTCTGAAGCCCAGGAAGAGGGTATGAAATATATCATGAGGCCAGGGAACTCATTTTCAAACTGGAGGTGATTCCCCTCACATTGACTTAAGTGCTAAATGGACCCTGGTGTTCCGGTATATTTCTCAGGGCTAAATACACAGACACTGACCCTACAGTGTCTGGTTCCTGAAGTGCAGAAAGGACTCTAGTCCCCCCAAAGCAATGACATTTAGCAGTGAAAGAATAAGTGATCTACTGCCTTCCTATACAAATAGTTTGCCTTGGTTTTAACCGGTCTGATCCTTTGTTTTTGTTGGTGAAATTTGTAGGTTTTTGTGGGTTTTGGAAATACACTATTATGTGGCCTCTCCCAAACCAAGATAATTAGGCCATCTTTAACTTTTAGCTTTTAAATATAAAGAAGTATTTTTGAGAAACCCTTACTTTAAGAATGGTGAAACTTTGACTATCAAGTGCTCACAACTATATTATTAAGTGAACCTTAATTTGCGTGATTTGGGTTTATGTGATTTTTTTTCTTTTCTGCGTATTAACTACAAATACTCCACCTCCAGATTATTGTAAAAGAACACTGATCATCTTTATGCCTTTTTTTTTCTTTTTGAGTTGGAAGTCTCACTCTGTTGCCTGGGTTGGAGGGCAGTACTGCAACCTTGGCCTGATGGGCTCAGGTGATCTTCTGCCTCAGCCTTCCAAATAGCTGGAACTACAGGCGCGTGCCACCATGACCAACTAACTTATTTATTACAGAGATGAGGTTTTGCCATGTTGCCCAGGTTGGTCTCGAACCTCCAACTCATCGCTACAGTCAAACCTCATGCCTTGGCCTCCTAAAGTGTTGTGATTACAAGTATGAGCCACCACATTTGGCCTTTTTGCCTTTTGATTTTATCTGTTATGTGAATACTAATGCTTTCTGCTTACTTGCTTCCAAATCAGCTACTATCACTTTCCAGTTAAACCGAGTTTGTTTTGGATAAAAATTCAATTAATCATCTCTTAGAGAGAGAGAAATAGAGTATACTGAGAAAAAAATAAGAGTGCATCATGCATAGTAATATTACATCATTTTTTTTTTTTTTTTGAGTTGGAGTCCCACTCCATTGACCAGGCTGGAGAGCTGTGGCCTACTCACGGGTAACCCAGCATCAACCCCCTGGGCTCTGGCGATCCTTCTGCCTCAGCCTCCCAAGTAGCCAGAACCACAGGTGTGCGCTACCATGCCCGGCTAATTTATTTATTGTAGAGTTGCCTAGGCTGGTCTCAAACCTGTGGGCTCAGGCAATCCACTCGCCTCGGCCTCCAAAAGTGCTGGATTATAGACTGAGCCACCAAGCCCGGCCTACATCATGTTTTGTAAAAACCATGTTTCGTTATGCAGGTACTGGGTAACCAAGGAAAATTTATTTCTGGCTGTGGGTCATGGCCAAGAACTTTGAAAATCATTGCAAGAAAGGCTTTCAAAAGACTTTCCAACTTTATAATTGTATAATTATGCCAGAAACTTTAAATCATTCATTCAAAAACTATTTATTAAGCACCTGCTTTCACTTCTGTGCCCCCCAGAGCACCAGGCACATGAGGTTAGCATCGGGACCTCATGACCTTAGCATTGGGACTAAGCAGGGATAATTGGACTTTTTAAAATGTGTGGACATCTTTGGCTTCTGATAAAACCCATGAATCCTCACTCAGAATAATGTTTGGAAGAAAAATTGTAATTGCTGTTTCAAAAAAAAATCTGTATGAAGTAGAAATTGGTTTCAATAACGTTAGTTGAGAATATGTTCTAGAAAGTGGAGGGAACAGGCCAGGCATGGTGGCTCAGGCCTGTATCCCAGCACTTTGGGAGGCTGAGGTGAGAGGACTGCCTGAGCCCATGGGTTCAAGACCGGTCCGGGCAACTTGGCGAGACCTCATCTCTACAATAAATAAAAAATTAGCTGGGCGTGGTAGCGCGCACCTGTAGTTCCGGCTACTTGGAAGGCTGAGGCAGAAGGATCGCCTGAACTCAGTAGGTCGAGGCTGCGGTAGCCATGGTGTGCCACTGCACTCCAGCCTGGGCAATAGAGTGAGACTCTGACTAAAAAAAGTGGAGGTAACTAGATATGAAATGCTGGCAGCAGTTCAATAGAACAGTCCCAGATGTTTAGTAGAGGCCAACACTTCATGAAGACAAGGCCTTGGCTGTGGGTAATTTTGGACAGTACCTGTAGAAATATTGCATAAACCAAACTGAATTGTTTTCACAGTGGTGTGAAGTTTCATATAGTAAAATTTTTTTTCTACAGGCACTTCTGCTTCACACTAAGAGGCCGGGGGGCAGTGGCTTACACCCATAATCCCAGCAATTTGGGAGGCTGAGGCGAGAGGATTGTCTGAGTCCAAGAGTTTGAGACCAGCCTGGGCAACATAGTGAGACCTCGTTTCTAAAAAAAAAAAAAAAAAAAGCCAGGTATGGTAGTACGCACCTGTAGTCCCACCTACTCACAAGACTGAGGTGGAAGGATTCTTGACCCCAGGAAGCTGAGGCTTCAGTGAGCCATGCACTCCAGCTGAGTGACAGAGTGAGTCTCCAACTTGGAAGTGAAAACACTTAATAAATGTCAGCTGTTATTATGCTTACAGTTGAAATTCTAAGATGCCTCAAACATACAGCTCCCCCCCATAGGGAAGGCCTGAAAGCTCCTGAGGCTCTTTCCTTTACTAGTTTGCTGGACAGCTAAGGATATTTGCACCTTTGAAGCTTATAGCCAGGGTAACGTCTAGAGTTTAACCAGCAGTCAGTCACTCTGGGTATTTCCTCATTAGGAACCTTTTAGAAAGTCATGCCCCTCCTTCTCTAAACAGCAACCCCACATACCTGTCATTAAAATTGTTTTACCATGCATTCTCCTATTGTACACTACTTATAAATGTATGTGTATGTATACTACTAACTTATTTATATATTAATCAAGCAAATACAAAAATATAATTTTAAAAGAATGAAAAAAGAATCTAATCAGAAGGTCTAAAATTTTCTTCCCATACTCCAGTGGGTGGTCTTGCTCACCATCTGAGGTATGCAAATCCCAGTTTGGAAACTGAATGTCTCTGAATTTTAATTTTGGTTTCAAACAAAACTGGAGAGCTGCAGTGATGGACATATCAGTTCTGACAATTAAGTTTACAAACTCATCCTAGAAAAAGTGCTACATATCTCATTGCTGAATATTACTACTGCCACCTTCAAAGTACTCCCTTTGGGAAGCTGTTCACTGATGCCAGCACCTAGTCTACCCGTCAAAGCAATTTTGAAACTCTTTTTCTGGAATGGCTATCAGAGCTGTCGGCGTATTTCCCATGATGTCCTGAATGTCATCAAATGTCTTCCTTTCAATGTGTCCTTTATCTTTAGGTAAAGACGAAAAGTCACTGGAGGCCAGATCAGGTGAGTAGGGAGGGTGTTCCAATACAGTTATTTGTACACTGCCACGAACATAAGTGCACAGTAGCAAGTTTGTGAACTTAATTGTCAAACCTCAACAAACAATGACAACAGCTCTGATGGTCATTCCAGAAAAAAGAGTTCCAAAATTGCTTTAACAGGTAGACTAGCCACTGGCATCAGTGCATAGCTTCCCAAGGGGAATACTTGGAAGGTAAACGTAGTGATATTCAGCAATGAGGTATGTAGTACTTTTTCTGGGATGGTTTGCTAACCTAATTTTTGGACCTTGTGCAGATGAAACCATGTACTGAGAAACACAATTGTCAGGAATTCTATTGCTAATGCCGTGGAACGGCGATTAGCCCTTTTTTACACAGAGAAGGAAACTGACCCCAGGGAGGCAGAGAGACGACTCCAGGATCACTCTGCAGCAAGACGGAGTCAGGATGGAAACCCAAGCTGAACTGGAAGACGGATATTTCTTTTTTCGTTCCTATGGGAGGTGAAGGTGGGAGAGCAGGAGGTCCCAGGAAGCCAGGGGGCATGAGAGGGTGAGGGCAGGGCTGCTATGGGGCCAGAGGCAGGAGTCTGGGTTCAAATTCAAACCCACAGAGATGCATCA